CCCCACCCGACGCTCCACGGATCACCAACAGTACAGGGACTGACGCTCACTTTATAACTTTATACGTCATGATAAATAGAGAGAATATTATGTTGTGTGTGGCCTGTAATAAATACGTCATGACACACAGAGAGAATATGTCGTGTGCCTCCTGTAATAAATACGTTCTACAGCTGACGTAGGAATAAATAAACGAACTACAATACAAGAATGTACATATTGTGTGGACACATACGTGGATAGATCTGAATGTACAAATGTGGAGACATCAATCACACGAGACCCACACCCAACAAAAACCACCAATCACACAAACCTTCCACCCACAAAAACCACCAATCACACAAACCTTCCACCCATAAAAACCACCAATCACACAAACCCACACCCACCCACCCACACCCACACACAGATCACAGTAGCAGCATTCTCTTCCCCCACCCCCAGGCTGTGTTCATCCACCCACCATCAGTGGCCACCATTCTATACCAGTCACTGGACACATTTCTCCACAGTTACTGGACACATTTCTCCACCAGTCACTGGACACATTTCTCCACCAGTTACTGTAAGCACCCACACTCTATGATTATCAGCAAGCACCCCACTACCATTTACTGTAAGCACTCCGCTATGGCAATAAGCAAGCATCCCGTTACCATTTACTGTAAGCAACTTGTTATATTTATAATACGCATTTTGAACCCATTTCTGTAAGCATTTCCCAATGACACATTACATTATCTATTGTAGCATTTGCCGCAGGCACCCACATACCATTATTATACAAGTAAGCATTTCTAGAGGACTTATTGAATTGTAAGCATTTCTGTATGGTAAACAGAATTGTAATCATTTTTATGTAATGTATTGCATGAACTGTGCTGTCTGTTACTGGAGGCAATGGTGTATCCTTTCTAGAAATGTAAGCATTTGCATATAATTAAGTTCCAACATTTGTTAGACAACATTTGTTAGACAACATTTGTTAGACAACATTTTGTCAGGATTTCTGTGGTCTTTACGACGCCGCCACCCACCACAGAGTCTGGGAGCACAACAGGAAGAAATGGTCATCGCCCAATCGCTGCTCTTGTACAAAGTTGTCTGTTCCCACACAGATCAAGAAGTAATTAAAATAATCACAAGTTTTGCCAGTACACTCAGTGGAAACTCAACACAAAACATGTTTTTTTTTTAAAACTCGGCTCTGTCCGAAAAAGATCTGTCAACGTTACATTCATTTAAGGAACATTTTCAAAACAAAAACTGAAAGTTCAGAACCATACACACAAAGTGGCAGTCTATAGTATGTCATGCAGCGTCTTTGGACGTATAGCGACGGTGAAATATGGTGGTCATGCAGCGTCTTTGGACGTATAGCGACGGTGAAATATGGTCGTCATGTAGCGTCTTTGGACATAGAGCGACGGTGAAATATGGTCGTCATGGCTCCGATAGAGTTCCTTCCTGTCGTCAGATTTATCTCATGACGTTGTTCCTGGCGAGAAAGATGGGCCGAGCTGTGTGTGTACGTTTGTGTATCTGTGTGTGTGTGTGCGTGTGGGTATGTATGCGCGTCTGTGTTTGTCTGTGTGTGTGTGTATGTACGCGTATCTTAGTGTCTATGTGTGTCTGTGTGTGTCTACGTCTCCTTCCCCTGGTGCCCGGCTAGAGCTATGGTGCGGACCATGTTGTGTGTGTGTGTGTGTCTGTGTGTGTGTGTGTGTCTATGTGTGTGTGTGTATGTACGCGTATCTTAGTGTCTATGTGTGTCTGTGTGTGTGTGTCTATGTGTGTGTGTGTCTGTGTGTGTGTGTCTGTGTGTGTGTCTATGTGTGTGTGTGTCTACGTCTCCCTCCCCTGGTGCCCGGCCAGAGCTATGGTGTGGACCATGTTGTGTGTGTGTGTGTCTGTGTGTGTGTGTGTGTCTGTGTGTGTGTGTCTGAGTGTGTGTGTGTGAGTCTACGTCTCCCTCCCCTGGTGACCGGCCAGAGCTATGGTGCGGACCATGTTGAGCTTCCTGAGCTGAGCCGCGCTGACCGCTGGAGTGACCACAGCTTTCTCGGGCGACACAGGCAACAAACGCTTCCCTCCCCTGGGTGTCACCCGCCCCCGCTCTGCCGCGCCCCCGCCGCTGGTACTCCACGTCTTGCGAGCAAACTCTGCGAACATGGAGGTGGCCAGGGTCACTTCCTGGCAAGCTGCGTCCAGCATCGACAGTTGTGACTCTGACAGAAGACTGACGTCGGTGAGCTGTGACGTGTCGCCCGCTGACACACTGCGCTCACTGCTGCTGCTGGGAGTAGAGCTGCTGGTGCTGGTGGTGTTGGTGTTGCTGTTGTTGTTGCTGTTGTTGTTGCTGTGTTTGGAGGAGGCGGTGCTGGGAGTGGAGGTAACGCCCGAGGTATCGCCGAGCGACGAGGCAGAACTCTTGGACCCCCGCTGCGACCAGGCAATCGGCGACGTGGACTCGCTGGAAGAGACGGTGGTCTGGGCGCGGGGGTGCTGGGCCGTGTTGAGGAAAGACTTGGCAGAAGACGAAGACAACGACGATGACGATGATGATGATAGCAAAGGTGCTGCTGATGAGGATAAAGATTGTGACGGAGAGTTTGTGTAGGTGTAAGACGAAGCAGCCAGCAGACGCTGGGAACTTTTCTGTATGAGGTCGGCGCAGCGTTCTAGCCGCTTGCTGTCGTGTCCTTGGCCTGGGAGGGAACACAAAGGGACATTCCGGAATGAGAGAAAAACTTTGGGAGTGACAGAAGGAGCATAAACCTGGACACCACTCACCATAAACCTGGCCACCACTCACCATAAATCTGGCCACCACTCACCATAAACCTGGCCAGCACTCACCATAAATCTGGCCACCACTCACCATAAACCTGGCCAGCACTCACCATAAATCTGGCCAGCACTCACCATAAACCTGGCCAGCACTCACCATAAACCTGGCCAGCACTCACCATAAATCTGGCCAGCACTCACCATAAACCTGGCCAGCACTCACCATAAATCTGGCCACCACTCACCATAAATCTGGCCACCACTCACCATAAACCTGGCCAGCAC